CGCACTTACACGGAGAAATGATTCCTGGTTGGTCTGAAGCTCAGCTTTCAGTGGTGACTGCACCCATCTGTGACCCTGCCTGAGACCCCACACGCTCCTCTCATTCCCTCCCCATCTCCTTCACTCACAGCTTTTGAAAGGTATGAGGACACCCACTCTCACCACCCTGTCACCTCCCAGGGGGCTCCCTGTGGGCTTCTGGGTCACAGAAGTCTGGCTCTCCAGGTTGGCACTTCTCAGGACCCTTCCAAGCCACCGCTTTGTGGCTGAAGCCAGTGCACACTCTGAGGTCACTGCTCCAGACTCTTCCCAGCCTTTGGCTGTCTTGTGGCCATGCTCATCTGCTGGAGCCCAGAGACCCTGCCAGGGGCACTGGGATGCCGCTCCTGTCCCCGGCCTGCCCTGTGGTGTCCTCCTGGCTCTGCTGTGGCTCACATGCCCTCCGCTGGGGAAACCCGGAGTCCAGTGCTGCCGCTAGCCAGCTCTCCTGACCCCCGTGCTCCCCGTCCAGGGCTCTGTGGCTCTGCTAAGGGTCCTCTGTCCTCCCAGATGCCTGAGCCAGAAACCAGGGTGTTGCCCCCAGCCCCCAGAGGAGGCTTGTCCAGCTCCCGCTCTGTCCTCAGGCTGCCGCCCCGCCCTGGGTTCCTGGGCAGCCTCCTCACCCGCTGCAGACCTGGGCTTGCCTCTGACTTCTTCCACTGCGGTAGGGAGCCTTCTGAAACGCAGGCCTGAGCCACCCGGCTGAGCCACACGGCTCCCCGTGTCCACAGGGTGAGATCCAAGTTGCTCAGCTTGACTTAGAAAACCTGGATACCGCTCCCTCTCCAGCCGCCACTTCCTTCTTCTCTTCTCCGGCCCCAGCCCCAGCCTTCTCCCTCTTGCTTGGCCCTTGGCTCCTTCTGGGAGGCCATGCCCAGCACGCCCTCTCCTCAGCATCCCCAGGAAGCACTCCCTCCCCACCCTCTAGCCTGGGACAGCTGCCCCTCCAGGCACACAGGGGTGAGCGGCGGTACCACCTGGACCAGCCCGTAAGCACAGGAGGGCAGCTTGCAGTCCTCTTCCTGGCACACAGTAGGTCCTCAGTTATGTTGTGTCCAGTGAAGAAACTCTGTTCCCCAGTGCGGCTCTGCTCAGGTTGACATTGCCTGGCCCCTTGTCAGGAAGTCCCTGTGCCTTTGTGTCTTAACACGGTTCCTGGGGCAGGGCAGACACCTCCGTAGACACCAGTTCAAGGGAAGAATCATATTTTGTAGTCGGCTCCTTTGAGGAATTGGTCAAAATCAGTTTCTTCCAAGAATCTGGAAAAGACACGTTGTTTAAAAGCCTTTAATTTGTTTTAAAACCTTAATTTGAAATACAATTCTGAATCAACACTGACATAAAACAGCATTCATTTTTATGTGACTGATTAGTCAAATATTGGGAGCAAAAGGAATCTCAGACTCCCCGTCTTTAACATACTTTGGCACTGAAGTCTAAGTTTCCATTGTTTACAAAGAGTGGCGCCTCATTTCCTGATTAGCCTTTATGATCTGATGTTGCAATAGACACATAAAGTTTTAAGAATAAGCTGTCCTTTTTCTATGAAGATGATAGAGTTATTTATTGATTTTATTTCAGAGCCCTTTTTAAAAGCCCTTAGGGACCCCTTTCTGGTCCCACCACACAGATCACACCAGCCTCCACTGCCGGCCCTCACGCGGCCTCAGCTACCCACGAATGGAAAGTCTGCCCACACAGGGAGGAGGCCCCCTGTACAGCCAGGCCCCCTCATAGCTAGAGTTTCCACCAGAGTGATATCTTCCACTAAGAATAAAATCAAAATTTGTTTCAAAAATAACATAGACTGGTTTGGGGGCACTTGAAAACTGTTTTAAACTTATATATTCCTATGTTAATTTATTTTGATCATAGATACTTACATTTATTTCTATTAAGCTGAACAGTTGAGTTTCCCAAATTAATCCCCAAACAGGATCATTTTATCCTGTTTTGATTTTCCTTATTTGTTAACTATCATTTAGGGGAAAAGATGATTCACACTCCAAGTTCCTGTGTTTTTCATTTGTGACTTTTACACATTAGACCAAAATATCCTATGATAAAGAGATCACACGGCCCATGTAATAAGCAAAGTCCATCAGATAGGCAGAGCACACTGGGGATTTTTTGGGTTTATTCTCTGGGACAAGTAGGAGTTTGTGGCGTCATTTTGAATGCCTTACATCAGAGGGGCATGACCGGTTCCCTCTGAACTTTCATGGTAAGCCACAGAGAATGAGATATCTTGTGCCCAAAGCCAAGGTAAAAAACATGTAGAATTTACAGAGAGAGGGGCACTGCTGTTGTCCCAGCTACTCAGGAGACTGAGGCAGGAAGAGAAGCATCACTTGAGCACAGGTGTTCAAAGCCATCCTGGGCAAGAGAACAAGACCCTATCTCAAAACACAGACAAATAAAACAAAAATGTGAAAAATAAATCAAATCATCTTCACAAACCAGGAATAAAAGGGAACTTCCTTATTTGATCAAGCATGTTTTACAAAAAAAAGAAAAAGAAAAGAAAGAAAGAAAGGAAGGAAGCCCAAAACTGAAAGTAGTATAAGAGAATAAAAATCATACTATCACATTGTATTTTAGCAGGAAGACAAGCATAAGAAAGAACTAGAAAAGGAAGAAGATAGCCAAGCATGGTGGTTCACACCTGTAATCTCAGCAACGTGGGAGGCTGAGGCAGGAGGGTCGCAGATTCAAGGCCAGCCTCGGCAACTTAGCAAGACACTGTCTAATAATAAGGATGTACATTAGTGGTAGAGCACCTAGTCCCACACACACCCAAAAGGAAGAGACTCTTATTATCGTAGCTAACATGATGGTGTAAACAGTCCAAACAATCCACTACACGTTATCAGAAATAATAGGAAAGTTTGGCAAAGAGGCTGAACTTCTTCTACGACGAAGACGAACAGGCTCCCTTCACCCCGACAGTTCACAACAAGCGAAACCATTCTACCAGTGACAATAGAGCAAACCCCCGGAAATAAACTGAGTGGAAGATGCAGGAAACATTTCTGGAGACATTGTTTAAAACTTTTCTGAAGGACACTGAAGCCTCAGCGAGGTGGAGGACAGCAGTGTGACTCTTACGGATGGGAAGATCCAGCAGCACGGGCACAGCACCCCCCCACCCCGCGTCCATCACCTCCCCCTGGAGAAAATACGAGCCCTCCCTAGAGTGATGTGTCTATAGTGAAGTTTCCTTCAAGGGATGGGGTGCAGCTCAGGGGCAGAGCCCTCGTCAAGCCTGCAAGAGCCCCTGGGTTCCATCCCTGGCACAACCAAAAAGAAAGAAAAAAAAAAGAGAAGTTTCAATGGGAATTTTTTGGAATTCAGTTTCTAAAATTTATAGAGAAGAATGAAGGGTTAAAAATAGCCTCAGCATTCTTGAAGTAGAAAAAGGTGACAGATATGTCCCATCAGATACCAAGACCATCACAAAGCCACTGAAATGAGACAGTGTGGCATCAGTGCAGGAAAACCAAAGTGACGGTGGGACATAACAGCCCAGCAGCAGGCTTGTGGCCAGTGGACCCCTGATGGAGGGCAGAGGTGGCCCTGCAGATCTGCAGGGCACAGACGGAGCACCGAGTGAATGGTCCCGTCATCCCTGATCCCACAGGCACAAAAATCAGTTCCTGACAGGTCGGACGACAACAGGAAAGACCAAAGCTCTGGGACCTAGATGTGAACAGCTATCTTTTTTGTTTGGTTTCTCCCTCTTACTTTTTTTTTTTAATTTTTTTTATCAGCTACACATGACATGACAATGATCTTGGCAATTCACACATTTGAATCATTGGGGTATAATTTCTCATTTTTCTGATTGTACAGAATCACCCTGGTCATAGAGTCACCTATACACACAGCAATCATAATGTCTATTCTGCTGCCTTCCTATCCCCCCTACTTCTCCCCTCCCCGTGAACAGCTATCTTTATGACATTATTTGAAAGAACTTCTTTGATCAGGCAGCAACAGCAACCAAATGTGAACCATATAAGAAGAGAAAGATAGCTTTAATCAAATTGAATGGAGAGCTTTGTTGCTGATTAGCAGAAAGTCAAAGAAAGATGCCATTAAAAAGAAAAAAAAAATCACAAAGGAGATATTTATTATATATATAACTGACCAGAGATTATTCTCTAGAATATATAAGAAAATTCTGTGAATCAATAAGACAGACAACCAAATTTTAAAAAATAGACCAAAAGCATGAGTAAGCATTTCATTAAAAACTCAGCGGTATATAACCATGTGACAAAGTACCCATTAGTAATTGAAAAAATGCCAAAGAAAGCCACAGTGAAATGCCACTAAGTTGGCAGAACTCAGGGAGTTGATAGCACGGGTCAGGGAGGATGCAGATCAGCAGGACACTCAGTGACTCAGCCGTGTGAACTAGAGGACGTGGAGGACTCGGCTGCCCCCTTGGAAGCACTAGCCCCTCCCTGTATAAAGTTCAGGATTTTCTGTCTGTCAATCCCTAGCTGATTAGTTAGTATCTAACCAACTAAAGATGAGTGAAAGTGACGTGTATCCCTTTCCCTTAAGATAGATGGCCCATGTTCCAAGAAGGAGCTCCCTGCACCCAAATCCTGGAGTGAAATAACATAAGACAGAGCCCCAGCCATTGTGGGCACGCAGTGACAATAAAAAAAATGTACCTTTGTTCTTTGGTTGCAATCCATTAAGATTGGTGGTGGGGTGTCTTTTGTTACTTCTGCATAACCTAGCAGGTCCTAACTGTTACATGCCCTAAGATCCAGCAACTCCACCTTCAGGAAGTTTCCCTAGAGACACTGCTACCCAAAAGAACATTCATGGCAACATTTTTGGTGACTGCAAAGAACCTGAAACAGCCTAAACATAACTTGGCAGAGGATGGATTGGTAAACTGTGGTGTACCGTCTTTGCCAAATGAATGCACATGACAACACACATAAGTCTTATAAATATAATTTGGAATGATTACAGCAACTCACATGTATGTCTCCATACAGCACAGTATCATTTTCACAAAGCTCAAAAATAAACACAGCTAAAAAACAGTTTTAGGACACAAAATTAAATAATAAATGATTTTTTTGAAGCAAGAAAAAGATTCCAGATTTCCTAGAGAGGTTGCCTGGGAGTGGGCAGAAGATGAGAAGGGAGGTTGCATTCTGATGGATCCTCTGACCTTGACTTTGACCCTACAAAGGGTCAGATATCAAATTTTTAGACATTGGAACTCTACAGCCTCTGACACAAGTCCTCGACTCTGCCAAACTGTCGTGCAAAGGTGGCTTCTGACCAGGTGTGTGGATGTAGCTGGGTGCCCATAAAATTTTATTTATGGACTATGAAATCTGAGTTTCCAATAATTCTATGTGCCATGAGACATCACTCTTATTTTTAACCACTTAAGAATGCGAAAACCATCCTGAGCGCATAAGCCATACAAAGGCAAATGGTGGCCAGAGGAGGCGGTGGGAGCTTGGTGTCCTGCACTAGTGCTTGGGCTGGGCTGAGTGCCCGGGGGCTCCTTTTTCCTTGAACTTCATGCTTTTCAGGCATGTCCCATTGATTAATGTAACGGCTCAGAGGGACAACGGCAGAAGGTGAGGGTATGAAGAGGACCCCAGCCCAGGCAAAAATATTTAAATTCTGTGATGTCTCCTTCGACCCCAAACTTAGGGGCTCTCATCATTGCTGACAGTGGAGGACATCATTGTGTTAATGACGGGACTAATGGAAAATCTGGTAGGGAATATTTACTGCTTATTCTACAGCTTATGGCCATATGTCACTTAGCACACACACAAAAAACCTGCACTGGTTTTGATGGTAATTTTGGCTGGACCACTGCCCATATGATTGAATCGAAATCTCTGTTTCTGATTGTTTGTTTGTTTGTTTGTGGGGCTGGGGATTGAACCCGGGTCCTTACACACGCTCAGCACTGAGCTCCATCCCCAGCCCCTGATGGGATTGACTTAAAAGTATCATTTTTTTTTTTTATGGGTTTCAAAAACCTAGCCCAGTCCTGTTAAGTAGCATCTTACATTCACCACCAGCGCTGCCCCATGCTTCTGTTAAGAGTGGAACATTTGTAAAGGCCAACTCATTAGCCTTAGAGAAGACTCATGGGGCAATGCTGGGTGCTTTCTAGTGTGACACTTTTCAAAATAAAAGGACATGACAGTGAGATCACTCAATTTCTCTGGCTTCTTTCCGGCGAGTTCCGACAGCTCTTGGGATTTCACTTCACAGTTCGCATCCTCCTTCTTCTTCTTCTGGAAACCGGCAACTACAGGCGTCTTCCTCTTGGGCAGTTTGTACTGGTTTAATAAATGCTAGAAAATGATTTAAAAGACACTTATGTTTGTGGTCTAAATCACATAATGCTTATTTTCCACAAGTCACAGTCGTAGAACATTTCTAAGCAGCAAATATTCTCAGCTTTAATTTCAGCTGACTTATTTCAGAGTAACAGTGAGTATGAGCTTTTCCTGGATATTATTGAAGATTTACTTCCTTTTCCCAAATGTTTTATTGGTCTTTTAAAACTATTTTCTTTATTTTCTACAATAACTAAAAAGTCCTATGCGCGAGTGACTGTAAGCATAAAATATAAGCCATCTCCCAGGCACAGCTCTAGTTTCAATTTAGCAGTATAGTTTTTAGTCTTGGGGTTACTTGTTTAGATATTGGACAGTTTCTCTTGAATGAAATCCTGTGCTGCCTACTTTAAAGACATCTCCACCACTTCCACCCAGTGGTAACCAAAGAACCGACCTGTGTCCGGCTTCTGGATCTCCTTCTGCAAGTTCCCTTGAAGTGTTTGTGTTACTGCTGAGAAACTTTCAAATCCTAAGCAGGTATTTCCCGAGACCTGACAA